ATCGGGCTTTACAATTATTTATCAATTAAATAATCATTATGCTGTAGCATTGTTTTAAATGTACATTATGTTAAAATACTGAAATTATTTTAAACCTGATAAATTATGCAAAACAGTATGTCTTGCTTTTGTAAATATATTTTATCGTGTATTAATATCTATTAAAATAATTAATTAAAATAATATGGTAATCACTTCTAGGTGATATGTGTTTTACTAAGGTCTGTACATTTTAAATATATTAAATCTATTTATTATTTTACTATAATTATTGTCAATATAAATGTTTAATTTTTAATTAATAATAAATAAATGATAAATTGTAACGAATGTTATCAACAAAATATTGTATATCTATTACAATATCAAACATATGTTTTATATATAACTTTATGTTTATGTCAAACATTTTCCATGAAGGGTAATATCAATGTTGATCATATCAGTGACATTTATATTTATACAATTAAACATCCAGGGCAATTTACTTAATTTACTATGGTTGCTAAATAATAAGCAATTAATAAATAATTGTTATTTTATAATTGTTTGTTTTAAAACAGACAGTATTAATTATTTTTATAATAATACAATTAGGGAATTAATTTAATCTAGATGTAATATATAAACATATAGCACTATGAATACACTTAATTAATTATTTGTACGCCTAAACTTTATCGATCACGTTGACATTTAAAAATAAACAAACCTACAGCAAATGCAAACGCAATAAATCACTAATCCATTAATGTAAAATAAATACCAACTTTTAAACAACACATTAATTAAATTAATAAAGTGTAACAAAAATCACAAATATTTTTGGTATAAATATAATTAAAAATTCAATAATAATAATTAATAATACAAATAATTATTTATATAATTTGTGGGCACCTAGATAAAATGCTAACCCGAGTGCAACGCGAACTATCATCGGTACACCCATTATCGCTATACCGTAAACAGCGGCGATCGAGTAGTACAGCGCCGGGCAGTGCTGGTCGGCGGCAGTCGGTAACGGTTAGCGGTGTCAACGGTCACGCAAACGGTCCGGTCAACTGTGCGCCACCGGCGGGTCAGGCCTTAGTGGCCAACTGCAGCACAAGTACTACTACTAGTAGTACCGCGACTACAGTCGTGGCAAATGACAACTCGGTTGGCGCCAAACGGCTAAAGAAAATACTGTCCGAAGTGAAAGAGCGCCGAGAGATAAGGGAGCGTAAAAAGTCGGACCTACAGGACATGGATGGCTCCGATCCCGATATTACCGTGTATTTTACTGATCCAGAATTCACCAAGACCATTAACTATCAGGAAAAACTCAAGGTGTATAATTTTTTGAACAACCCGCAGAGTTTTTGGGCCAGAAGTTATCACATATTGGTGTTTATGTTTGTGTTCGCCGGTCTCATTGTTACCGTGTTCTCCAACATAGGTAGGCGCTGTGCAAATAATTATACAATTATATTACATTATCCCTTCCCATAATATGTTATTTATTAACCCACCTAATGTAAAAGATAACCTAGTTTGAGTTTAACTAGACCAAATAGTTTGAACTACCATTTATGTAATGTTAACTATTAATGTGCGTTACTATTAATATAAACGGGAGGTTAAGTGAAGGTTTGTAAAGTAATAACTTATAAGGTTAACATTAAAGAATAATGGTCAACAATAAATGATCAAGTAAAATAAATGTTTGCTTGAAAAAGTCTACAACCTGTAACAATGTAATTAGAACATTTGTGTCATGTCTATATTCATAACAAAATAATATATATTTGGAATAGAATATATATACTCACAATTGTCAGTTAATATTTTACAATAACATCATAATTTAATACAATATTTGTTTTAATAATTGAATTAACTAATTGAACTATTGTCTCTACCTTATACGCCAAAATAATTTGTTAATATTTAAAAATACTTAATTAACACTAATTATAATTATTATCATCACCTAGGCAAATTTGCGTCCAGCGCATGGAAATTCATCTACCTATTCGAAAAATTCATAATCATCTGGTTCAGTTTCGAGTTCATACTACGACTATGGTCATCATCGTGCAAGCAGCAATACGAGGGTTGGCGTGGTAAAATCAGGTACCTGTCGGTGCCGGCACACGTACTGGACCTGATAATCATATGCTCATCCATACTAATCGTTATACCCATACATACGCGCAACGGGTCGGAGGTGTTTGCGGTGTCGGCTTTCCGGGGGTTTCACCGCTTTTTCTCAGTCCTACAGATCGTTACGCTTAACCGCCAATTGAAACCCTGGAAAGTGCTGTCGTCGGTGATCTACGACCAGAGGGAACAGTTGTTTATTATATTCTACATAGAGTTTATTGTGTTGTGTATATTGGCCTACATTTCCTACATTGTGGAAAAGGATGATAACGAACAGTTTGATAATATCGCCGAGGCTATGTGGTGGTCGGTAAGTAATCATTCATGGTCAATTTACACTTGTTGTGTGTAGATCATTATTTATATTAACTATGTTAAATAATAATGTGTTTTTGTGTTTTATTTAACTAAGGTGGTAACATTGTCAACGGTAGGCTATGGGGATCGAATACCGGTACGTTATACGTTTATCATTATCACTAGTATAACTAAATTAATATAAATTATTTTCCAAAATAATTAATTATTTTAATTAAAATAATGCAATGTTCCATTTATTAATTATTATTTAACTGACCTTGGCATATAAATCTCATACTCTGCCATAACACTAGATTAACTCTATTAAATTAAAGATTTTAAATATATTCTAGGTAACCTGGTTGGGCAAACTAGTATCTAGCGTGTTTACTGTGTTAGGTGTGGCCATATTCGCACTGCCGGCGGGTATTATCGGCGCCGGATTGGCCCTTAAGATCGAGGAGGAGGAGCGTAATCGGCAACGGCGCAAGAAAAAAGTCGCCGCGGCCACCTTGATACAATGCGCGTGGCGATTAAGCAAGGCCAATGTTAAGTATAATGAAACATCTAGGTTTTTTGGTCACCGCCCGACCGATATATACAAATTTTATTATTTTGAGACTATTGAGAAAAAGTTTATTTATTTGACCAAGTTTTTTATCGCCAAACAACGGTTTGTGGATTTATTGCGCCCATTGGATATTAAAAGCATTATTGAGAGTTATAAATATGGTCAATTGGATGTGATGAGCAAGGTCGGCCATATGCAGACCACCATCGATACAATCGGTATGACTTTATTTGTTTATTTGTTATTTTTAAAATAATTAGGCTAGTTATCAAACTGTAAATGGTATATTTTGCATCTATTATTTTGCATACAATATTTAACTGTTAAAATAGTTTAAGTGCTTAACTATTCATGGAGATTGTCAACCATTTTATAATAATTGTCCATATAAAGTCATTTTACCTAGAGTATTTATCTAAAATGTGCTACTTTTATATGTTGCATGATAATTTTTAAATAAATATCATTTTAGGCACTCGTGTGGGTCTGAACGAGAACTCAATACAGAGCTCACAATCGGTACTCAACCAGAAGATCGATAGTATCGATGCATTGATAACAGAAATACAGCATAAACTGGACCAACAAATGGCAATCATTGCCCGCCTGTGCGGACACATCCGGTGTTTGATCACCGGTTCGTCGACTGTATCGATGAGATCGCACGCAATGGCATACAAGCGGTCAATACGTGTCGTGACTGTAAACGGGGGTCGCAGTAAAGGGTCAGTAGGTTATGAGGTTACATTTGTTACAGCACATGCAAGTTTACACATTGTAATGGCTAACAATAAATAATCATGTAAAATAAATATTTTGATAGAAACAATATAAACTGTACACATGTTATTATATTATTATTATCATGTTCATACTTACTATAAAACAATGTATATTTGGAGAACATGCCCTAACACATATTTTTAAATTATTTAATATCATAAAACTCAATGATAGTTATCATAAAACTTATAACATTTTTACATAATAGTTATTGATTTTGTTTAATAGTTATAAAATTGATTTTTATAATGAAACTTTATCATAAGTTTTTACATGGTATGCAATATTTTAAAAATAAAATAGGATTTTAATTAAATGTTAGTATTTTATATATCAATAGTTTTAAACAAATTTGTGTACGTTTCTATTTATTCTAATTGTATTATTAATATAAAAGTTTTTTTTTATAATATTACCAAAATTAAAATTGCAAATTTAAATAATTTTTAAGCACATGCAAAATAAATAAAATTTAATTTAATAACTTAATTAATTAATTAAAATTACAAAAAAATTATTTTTTGTTGCATTATATTTATGAAAAATTAAACTGTAAACATTTATACTTGTTGCATTTTATATAAAGAATAATCTAGAATCTGTTAATTAATTGTTTGTTATTTATAAACTGTAAATCAATATTTGAAGTCAATTATATTTATTAAAATAATATAAAATAATAATTATTTTTGGGCATAATTGCAATTCAGGTTAAATATTGAATTATACATATAAATATGTTTGAAAATGATATATTTTTATATTGTTAATAATGGTTAATAATAAATAATTATTATGAAATAAATATTATTAATTAAATATCACCGTGTTTGATTGTGTGCAGACATTTGTTCAAAAGGCCCTTGTTCAAAATACATTAAATTTTGATCAAACCGATTTATGTTAATTTTGCTAGAAACATATTAAATTACTTAAAATTACAAATAATATTATCAATAAGTTAATATGAGTTAGTTTAGGTTAATTTGAAGTAGGTTCTATTAGGTTTAATTAGTTTAATAGTAAAGTGTATATCAAATAAATTTCATAAACTAGGTGATTTATTACCTGTTCGTCGACTGTATCGATGAGATCGCACGCAATGGCATACAAGCGGTCAATACATATTGTGATTGTAAACATGGGTCTGAGTGGCAAACAGTGGCATAGGACAATTAAGATTAAGCATTATTTATAGTATACAGTAAATTATTTTGTAAAATAAATATTTTGATAAAATAATATAAACTGTAAACATGTAAACATGGATACCAATAAACAAAATATATTTGGAAAATTATAAACCGTTTTTAATAAAAATGAAAATTTTAATTTATACATATTTACATTAATATTAATGTTATGACAATTAAAATTTTTTAATTTTATTAATAAATCATACTTTTAAATGCCAATAGCAATCGGGCTAAGCATCTTACACGGTATAAAAGTAACGTAATATCAGAATAGCATGAAAATTATAGGATTAACTGCACATTTGATTGAAAATACATATATAATTTACATAATATAAACTGTAAAAATGTAATTACAGTATTGTTATCATGTTCATAATTACCACAACACAAAATAAATTTGGTTACTCACACCCACGTTGGCTTATAGAACAAAAATTTAAAATTTTACATAAACCTTTATAAATAAATAGTTGTATTACGATTTAATAATTACAATATTTATCAAATTATTAGAGTTTGCATGTTTAAATGGTGTAATTAAAATTTATTTATAAATTAATCAAATTACAAAAAAATTATTTGTTATTGCAGTATATTTATAAAAAGTTAAACTGTAAACGCTTAATTATTGCACTTTAGATATAATTTAGAATTTGTTACTTAATCGTTTATTATTTATCAACTGTAAATTTTTATTTGAAATCAATTTTATCTATTAAAATAATCTATAATAATTATTATTTTTGGTTTAAATCGTATTTTTAAATAAAAATTAGATTTTATAGCTAATTATTTTTTAAATACTATATTTTTATATTGTTAATAATTTATATATTTTTTAAACATATGCTATTCTTTGTTGTGTGGACTAGTGTCGGTAAATTGGACAATTTTCATTCACGCTC